TGTGAAAAATTTAATGTTTATCTCCTCATCTACACTTTGCAGCAGGGTGATGAATGGTGAATAGAAAGACCTGAACACACCATATCCATTGTGGTTATGATATGATGTAGTCACTTATTTTGTTTGGTGTTTGGTGAATATTTAAAAGATTACTTTAAATCAAATGGCGTAATGTTTTAAAACTTTAAATAAGTCACTTTTTACTGTTATTTTATTTCTTGTCAACTAAAGTAATCGAAGTCGGCGAATCTGAATCACATACGATGTGTTATTTTTCATGCATTATTTTAACTTTAATGGAATGTTAAATCAATATCATTGTTAATACTTTGTTAAACATGGTTATCAAACATCAAGCATTTCACATTTAAATGAATTTATTATTTTAGCGTGTTTATTTTTGAAACTTTCATCTTAGGCACCAAATAAACCAATATGTGTCACAACTTAAATATCACAATTTACGGTATAGGTAAGGTAGTCTAAACGTTTAAGAGTTTGAAGCACATTCAAACATCATGGGGCACAAAATGGGATAAGACATAGACAGATAAAAAGAGATAATAGAAAAATATCGAACAAATAATTCATATTTTCATAATCATTTAGTTGTCATGCGTTTCTGTTTTGTTAAATGATATTGACAGTGTGATTTGGACTTTTGTTCATTTGTCCCTTTATTTTTTTTTATGATGCTGGTTACTTTCTTTGATTTTAGGTTTACAATTGCAACCCTGGTATCTCCTAACCGTTTCAAAGTTTATTATTTAATTTGTTTTATATGATACACTGTAGTGAACTTGATATATTATATAACATTTTACTTCCTGCTATTTTTGAATAAGATAAAAATATAACATCTCGAGACAAAGGAAACATTTTTATATAATATCTCAAACTCATCAAATGATATTCGGTGTCTGGGTGGCCGAGTGGTCTAAGTAGTTCAATTACTGTATCACTATCATGGCAACAGTGAGGTTGTGAGTCGTAACCCCGCACTTGGCAGGTGCGCTCAATCTTAGTTGACAAGGATTGTCAGTTTTCCTGCCGAAGGTTGCTGGTTTTCTCGAAGCACTCTGGCTTCCTTCGCCAATGAAGATTGACCGCCATGAAATAGCCAATGTGGCGTTAATCACCAACCAATTATTAAATCAAACAGGTGGTTAATACATCAATAAAACAGAGATATCATTTTCAAGGGTTTTTTTTCTTTCCTTAAATCTGATAATGGTGTTGATTTACCTTTAAGCAGTAACGGCTGTGTTTTGCAGCTGTACTTTTGTAATGTTTAATCTTATGATTAAAAAGAGATATGAAATATACGTTACTGAGACAGTAACACACTGTTACGATAACATGAAAAAGGCCTCTGTAGATTAACATACATGAACGTGATATATGTATCACTGGTAATTTATAAAGTCAAGTATTTCGGTATCATAAATTACTACAAACTTTTATTAAATTCTTCAAAAGATTTTGTTTTGAAGTTTGGCTGTTCCTGTAGAATTATATTAAAGAGGGGATATCACATCTAATTGTTACTCTTATGTTATTTCTAAAGCACGTAAATTTAAATATGATCCATGTAAACTTGTTGATCCTTTCAATCAAATTATTCTTAAAGATACAACTTTAAAACGTAGTAATATCATTGAATATTATTTTTCGGTACTAACATAGATTTTGTTTTTTATAAATTAGAAAATGACTAACTATGTATTCACTACAAATCAGTAAAAGTCTGAAATGGCCTATATCTGTACTCGACTGTACTGATTTTTACTCGACCAGTCTGAATTGGTCTGAATTTTACTCGACATTACTCGACCCCAGTCTTAACCATACTCGACCGTACTGATTTGTACTTTACCCTTATCTTTGCCATTGAAAATAGTCTGAACTATTACTCGACCAGTCTGAAACAGTCTTAACCCATTCTCGACCTGTACTCGACCAATTTTTTCAGTCTAAACCATACTCGACCAAAGGTCTGAACAATACTCGACCAGTCTAAACCATACTTGACCAAAAAACCTATACTTTTTTTTATTTAGCTGTTAAAATTAATTTCTTTTTTTTTTCTGACATGACAACAGCCACAATAAAATAAACATATATATAAAAACATATTTTTACATCCTTACATGATTCTCAGATTTATCAAATAGAGATAGTTAAATTAAATTATCTTATATAATAATTTAATTATATTAATTTTAAAGTTTTAGACTTTTGTTAAAAAAAAGATTTTCTTTTAACTAAAAACCACCCCTTTACTGAGGGTAATAAAACCTTATTAAGGTGCTTCTTGTTTGGCATGTGTTTTTTTTTTTTTTTTAAACTTAATTTTCCTAAATTCCTTAAGAAAAACTATATAGGTTTCATGGTTACATACAATAGTTATATAATTATCTTTTTAATGAGGTAACAACAGACAAAAAATCACTGAAATTGTTTAACCTTATATTAGAAATATATCTATTCTTATTATAATTTGGGATATATTATATATAATATATACCAAAAAGGGATAAAAAAATTAAAGAAATAGATAAAATTTTTCTTCTGATTAGTGGTAAAGTATAAAGTAATACCTCATGCTTGGGGCAAACTCATTAAAAAGATCACACCTGGTCAGAGAGTATTAATTTCTAATTAACATTCATTAAAAAATGAAACATCCTGTGAATCTTAAATCGCAAGGCCTTTTGAATTCACTAGATAAGTAATACACGAGTTTAAGAAAAAAAGGGCTTTCTTTTTACCTGTAAAACACACATGTACTGAGGTAAATAAACCTTATTAAAGTGCTTCTTGTATGCCATGTCTTTAATTTTGACAAAAGTTATTCAAATTTAATTGAAATAATTTTTTTCTGCAACTTTGGAACACATTTCCTTTTTTAAATGGTTATCAAGGATTGCTATGGAAGTTCTATTATCATGATTATATTAAATTCTTGGTTTTACAAAACAAAAGTGTGATTTTTAAAATTTAATAAGTTGCTTTATATACTATTTTAAATATATTTTAAGAAACAAAATGTTAACTGCATTATTAACTAAACTCAACTGACACCATAAATCTATACGAGGCTTAAGTTAATGATGAAAATTGTCCTGTAACCATAAAATATATCTGAAACATTCAAAAAAAATTGAATAACATTGAAAACATTAGTCACAATTCAGTTTTGAGATTATTTGATCAGCTTGTTTTATTTTTATTTTAAAGGTGATATATATATGTAAGTGAGGATAAATATGGTGTTGAATTTATACTATGTTTATTGAGAAATTTTGGTTTCAATGCCATATTGAATACATTTTAAATTTCAAATTGTTGTTCAAATTTCTAGCCAGGGGAAATAGCTGTTAAAAACAGTTCCTTATAAATTGTTGAAATACAATAGATAGATACAAAAATTAGGTCTAGGTTGGTTAAGACTTAGTCGAGTATGGTTCAGACTAGGTCGAGTATGGTTCAGACTAGGTCGAGCATGGTTCAGACTAGGTCGAGCATGGTTCAGACGAAAATAAAATGGTTAAGTACTGGTCGAGTACAAGTTCAGACTGTTAAGTATGGTTCAGACTACAGTCGAGTATTATCAAGTAAATTTCAGACCAATTCAGACTGGTCGAGTAAAAATCAGTACAGTCGAGTACAAATATAGGCCATTTCAGACTTTTACTGGTTTGTAGTGATTGCTATACATTTTTGAAAACTTATAGACCTACATCCGGTTAATTATATGTACTTATATTTTGGAATTGTGTTATGTTAACTAATTAATCTTTTGTCTGGAAGAACTTTATATATTTATTAGTTCACTAGCTTTGATAAATTGTGGTTATTCTTAGATCAGTATTTTCAGTATTTTGCTATTATGATAGTACCCTGTAATTTAGAAGTTGCTGTCTGTTATATATTTTCTCATTATATGCTTTGTCATTAATCAGGACGTTGGTTTTTGTTTAAATTGTTTTACATTTTGTCAGGTAAGATCCATTAATAGCTGACTATACGATATATATTTTGCTCTTTGATGAAGGCTGTGTGGTGACCTTTATTTGCTTAAATCCAATCATTTGGTTTCTTCATGATATTGAAAACCAACTTATTTTCGCGATCGATTTTTTTTCGCGACTTTTGCGAGTAGAAAAATAACGCAAATATAAATCGTCGCGATTATGTTAAACTTGAATCTTTCCTTATTTAACTATATCAAACAAATTTGAAAATCGCGAACTGGGCTACTAAGGGCTAAACGCGAAATACATTATCCCCGAAAATAAGTTGGTTTACAGTTGTTGTCTCGATGGCGATCATACTGCATTTCCTTGTTCTCCAAACAGAATATACATATTATCAAAAGCTTCCTTAAACTAGCTTTATTGTCAATAAAGTACCAAAAATTACAACAGCACTGACCAGATTCCTGACGTAGGTCAAAGGCATTATCATTTAACCTACAGAATGTTCTTATTTTAACACAAATAAAAAAATTGTCTTTGTACATTTCTAACCATTACTGTTTATTCCATTTTGGTCAGCCATTGTGTTATTGTGCTTTAATCATTTTTTTGTATTCTTGTCTTTCATTTTTGATCATGTGCTTTGTGTATAGAGTGCCATTTTGTTTTTCTTTGTTGACATACATGTAGTTGTTTGTTGTTGTAGTGACTACGATTATAACACAATGTTGACTGCTGTGCCCCAATTTTTGATATTATTCCCTTTTGTGTTTGTTTGTTTTGCTCACACATTGTTGTCAATATAATGGAATTCTACACGACTGTCATACAAGTGAGATGTCTACATAAGGAAATGCCTGTACCAAGTAAGGAATATGTTTTCCATTCGTTTGATGTGTTTGAGCTGTTTATTTTGTCGTTTGATAAGGGACTTTCCGTTTTAAATTTTCTTTGGAGTTCGGTGTTTTAGTTATTTTACTTTTTAAAGTTTCACAACAATAAAAACCCTCAAATAAAAAATCCAATGTGATCTTATTGTAATTTCTAATATAAAAAAAATAAATAATATAAATAACGCCTTCGTTTACTCAAATGTCAGCCACTGTACCTCAGACTGCTTTTGATTTAAAGATATTTCATTTTTGCAAAATTTTGGCAAACTGTATTAGACACAAGTCAAATGCACTTATGCAGTCTTCTCCATAATACAATATTAAAATATATATAACAATATGCATGAAAAGCGTACAATTTACTGGCTATAATACAAACTATGAATGTTGAAAAAGAAAATATGAACCAAGGATGGGATAAAATTTTTAAATTAATATAACGTAATCAGAATACAACACAAGCACATTTTGAATGCGGATTTTCATTATTCCTGCTCGTGAATTGACTTTTGATCTTTGATATATAATGCTACATATGTACACCGTCACTATCAACACTGCAGAAATTCGGAAAGCATGCACAAATTATATTGTTTTGTATGCTAGTATAACAATGTGATAACTAGCTGATATTTTGTCAAGTAGAGTAGTTTCAAGAACTGTGAGGACAATTTCCATTTAAGCAATAAGCTATGTTCATATTTGTGTTACATCGTTCACCTCCATATACACGTGACTGTCTCCAGAATCTGTAGTATAGTAAATATGACTGTCAATCGTCGCTGTGGGCGTCTCGTAATCAGGTCTGTTAAAAAGAAATGAAACAACTATTTTTTATCTAATGCGTTTGATAGAATTATCAACCAAATCGAGTACATAAGTTAGAAAAATGTTAATCATGTGTTATTATAACATTTACTAACACTGTAACTAAAGTCCGGTAAAATCTTTTACCCTGCAAAGACCAACCAAAGCCGTTGCATAGACTGAGGTAATAATTTGTAGGAAAGGATTTAATGCATGCATCATTTTCCATATTGAAAGGTAGCATATGTATGCAAAACAACATTACGTACACTTTCAATTTATTTTAAATGTCTAAGCCTCGAAAATTTATATTGCAAATTAATATACTGAACATAGCTTAATGAAATAACTACTATCTAAAGCTAGATGTAAGATCATTTCATAGCCTTTTCTTTCAACTTAAATCTGTTTGTGCCCTAGCCCGTGTTTTTTATTCTGAATTTCTTGTCCTTATTGTTTGGTATAGATATTTAGGGTGAACAAATTTGGATGAAAATATACAAATTCCTCCATATGATCTTGATGTTTTTCAGCGATATGCTACAGAACTCAAGTATCACTGCAAGTTTAAGACAATACGTTACATTTGAGAAAGAGTAACTGTCAAAATTAAGACAATGCATTGATCTAACAAAACATGTAACAATGATTTGTAAACAAAATGTAGACAGATTTAGCAATTTGTCGAGCTGTCGTGGTTTATCAATTGTAACTTACCGTTTTCTTTTACGTCTAAAATACACAATTAATGTACAAAAAAAAACAACCAGTACAGCCACTACACTACACACAGGTGCTAAAATAGGAACAGTACTACTAGTATCTGAACGTTTAACCTGGTTACCTGCAAGTAATAAAAATCAAATTTCATTTTCATTGATATTCGCAGTAAATGAATGACAATAGGCTTGATAAATATTCCTGCTTAGGTCTATTCGGATTTTCGAGCATGTGTTCTAGATTTAATCAAAATTGCAAATAATTCCTGTTTTAAATGCACTATAATTTCATAATTATTTGATCAGATAAAAACAAACTAAGTTAATTATAGAGAATTCATTAAATACAGCATTCAAATAATGGTATCTTAAATATATGTGGTCTTTGTATATATGTGTTCTTTGTATATATGTGATTTTGTATACATATGGTATTTGTATATATGTTGTGGTCTTTGTATCTATGTGGTCTTTGTATATATGTGTTTCTTGTATACATGTAGGCTTTGATATTTGTGGTTTTTTATGGTCTTTGTATTTCTGGGCCTTTACGGTTATGGTTTTGCTCATTGTTGAAGGCCGTACGGTAAACTATAGTTGTTTACTTATGTCATTTGGTCTCTGGTGGAGAGTTGTCTCATTGGCAATTATACCACATCTTCTTATTTTTATATTTATCTCTATAACTGTCAGTTATATCTTTGTTTTAAAGGATTTTCTTTAAGAATCTAAAAATCGATTTTTAAGTATTTCTTAAGAAATTCGTTCCTTATCTCGTAGTCTTTTCGAAATAAGATATTAAAACATTGCAAAAATCCAGGAGTTTACCGTTTGTAATTATTGAGTTATTTGATGAAATATTGTAGTTGCTAAAGAGTGGCAAGAACTAATCTAAAAACAAACAATCGATAGATGTTTGACTCCAATTAGACTTCCTTACGGAACAATCAGTTTATGAAATGTATATGCTTGATCAATCTGATATACAAATCAGGTTCCATTCTTCGCGAACAAGGGTTTTACTACGCTTCGTCCTACTTTTCGTTTTATAGACCTTCCGGAATCCTCTTGTTTTGACGTAATGATACTCAAACTTGTAAGCAGGAATTTCAATGGCTGATGTTGTAAATACCAGAACAGAAACATGAGAACGTAGAGCAGGGTGTTGTCAGAAACGTGTATGCGAAGCGTGCATATATGATCTGTATTCTAATCAGATCATGTTTAGTGTTTATTCTACAACTTGGCTACGTTTTCAAACAAACCATTAAGTTATAGTTTAAGTTATTATACTCACCACATTATTGCATATTTTTTCTTTAAAAGAAATATATATATATATATATATATATAGTCAAATTCAATTTGAAACCCATTATCAAACATTTGACTAAGTCGGTAATGCCTTCCTGTCGAGCTGTCTGCATGCAGAGTTAGAATTACTAAAATAAGTATTAACAAAAATACTGAACTCCAAGATAGATTTAAAAAGGGGGAAGTCCATAAACCCTTACAAAATCAAACGTTAGACGATATAAACGAACGGAACGAATGGAAAACAACTGTCATATTCTTGACTTGGTTCAGGCATTTACCGAAAAAAAAATTGGTGGTTTAAATCTGGTTTTATAGCTACTTGTATGGCAGGTGTTTATAGTTCCATCTGTTTAAAAGCAGAAAATTAAACTGATAAAATACAGACAAAATTTTGAATCGTGAATGCTTTCATCAAATCAAGTGTCACTCTGATTTTTCAGAAGTTTAGCAACGTCTTTGAAGATATCCATTATGTATTAAATAGATATTTTACTAAAGTATTTGTCTTATTATTTCTAAACTTTTTTGTATGTGCATTTTTTTTCAGATGTTCGTTTCTGGTGTTATTAAATAAAATAAAGATGTACTAGTATTTCAAATATGTTGCATCAATCGCAAAGTTGTTATTAGTTTAAAGTAACAATGATTTGATCTATGCAATGGTTAGGCTTATATACAATCGTCTTATTCATTTTGGAAGCATTTTCATACCGCTTATTATCTGCTAAAAATGTATTGGATGCATACATACTTGTTGACGAAAATAAATGGACCGCTGTATCTTTTCTGCATTAACTTTGTGTTTGTGTTTCAGTTGTAATCTGTGGAACGTCTTTTTGTATCAAATTTTAAAACATGACACATTATCGGGGTGGAAAACTAAATGATTAAAAGACAAATTCGGTTTCCATGCTTCCCTTACAATGATCTACAAACGCTCCGTTCTACTTTCTATTGCATAGAATGTTCTAGATCCTCTTGCTTTTCCATAATGATAAAAAATTTGAAGGCAGGAATTTCATAGGCTGATGTTATAACAGAACGGACAAAAGAACTTAGCGTTGCCAGATTCTTAAAAGCGAAGCAGGAACAGGATCTATTTTCCAATCGGAATTGGGTAGAAAAGTAGTATTAAAGCAAATGATAGAAAAGCATATTAAAGCAGGTAACTACATGCAAAGCAAATTGTAAAATTAAAAAAAAAAAATAAAACTGCAACAGTTTCTCTTTATTTCATCAAAGGTTATATACTCTTGATGTTGAATATCCCTTTAATCTATAGAATTTTGTTCTTTTTTTATTATCAAAAACGTTGTAAATCAAAATGTGGTGGTGCTTAAATATGTCGGAGTGTATGGTGTTGACGATGTTGCTACAAACCTTGATCTTCATACTTAAGATATGGAAGCAACAGATGGAATCCATTTAAAGACAATATGCAGGTTATTCATTATCGCCTATTCTGCAGCAAATTAGAACTGAATATCTTTTTATTTTGCCATTCATCACTACAATCCAAATGAAACACAAACATGGTGTACAAAATTATATGTCTGGTATAAATCTTTAATGAAATTGTTTTTAGTTGAACGATACATAAATATCATGGAATTTGTGTGTCCTTTGTATTCATCTAGTATATAGTTAAAATAAATAAAATGTCAACATCATACCGTAAGGACAAAATTTTGAGGACAATATAAAGATATGAACGTACCTTAAGTGCACTTCACTGTACCTACTGTTATTTGTGTAGTACGACAAGAACAATGACTTACTATATTGGTGCCATTAAATAACTACTGATATATATATAGATTTTTCATTCAATTGTTGTTGATATGACTGCTTATTTTGGCTGTATCTTTTTCCCCTCAGTAACTTTACAAACAGAATGATCATATATAAAATTGAGAATGGAAATGGGGAATGTGCCAAAGAGACAACAACCCGACAATAGAGCAGACAACAATGCATTTGTATCCCAATTAGATAATGATGATTATTTGATAAATCTGACGACTTTCTCACAATATCATGCAATGACCTTAACTACGTGAACTTCGGTCGCCGCACAGCGCAAGTGCGAGGGAAGACACGTGATGAAAAAATGTAAACAAACTGGAAGGTTAACAGTATTAATAGATTCTTCAAGAACAATTGATATATACCAAATCATTTAACAACAAGTATAATAAACAAATGGGAACGCATGGAAAAAAAAAGACATCGTTCAATTAGTTCACTTATTTTTCATGTTCTACACGATTCTGTGCTAATTGTTTATGAATATCACGATCCGGTAAACTTTTGCAATATTCACTGAATGAAATATAATTTGCCAATAATACGTTATTGATTCATTATTAATGTAAAATAAAAAACGTGCATAGACGACTTAGTTAAGTATATATGTATGCATTGATTCAATAATTTCCTTAACATTATACAAAAAAAAACTCGTTTCATATGACTTTAACATGAAACGTACACAATTATTTGATTATAATTGTTAACTAAATACACAAAGTGCCTGCGCAGGGATTATATTTGTTAATTGGTGTTAATGACAAACCTTGACAATCACTTCCATCACAGACGTTAATACAGCTTCCGGTCACCTGATTACAAATACTGCCAGAACAAGAAACTGGACAGCCGTACTTACATTTTTGACCAAACCAACTTGAGTTGCATCCGGATGTACAGAACCCTGTGTTTTGATTACACGTATTGTTTAGACAATTTGTACTACATGTTTCAGTGCATGAAAATCCATATAAGCCATTTTCACATCCATATGAACAATTGTTCGACGAATAAATGCACTTTTTATTTTTACATCCAGGATAGCAGCTTTGAGTACAAGAATTTCCATAATATCCATCGTCGCATCCGAACAAACAATTTCCATTTCCAGGGTTGCAATTTCCCTTTGAGGTTTCAGCGCAGTTTGTACAACTATTTTCACAGTATTTGCCGTATTTGTCAACAACACATTCCTTAGAACATTTTCCGGAATCCACGTCGCATTCACTGTTGACACAAGTCTGTGAACACTCATTGTTGCATGATTGACCATACCATCCATTTGCACAACCGCCATTACAGATTCCAGTTAATTTATTACAAACTTCATTTCCAACTGTTGACGCCATCAAGCAATGGCTACTACACTGATTTTGACAATTGTGTCCATAAAACCCAGGTTTACATTTTGTACAAGTTCCAAAAAATCTGTCACAATCTGTGCAAGTGATTACACAAGGTGTTTTGCATTGAGTGCCATAAAAACCAGACGTGCAGTTATATGTGCATTCACCACTATCACGATCAAACAAATCGCCTTTACAATTGTCACTACATCGCAAGTTACATGTAGCACCATACCAACCCGTTACACAGTTACCTGAACATCGCCCAGTAAGACGATCACAGGCAGAACTGATGCAATGAATTTCATTATTACAGGGTATGCTACAGTACGTCCCATACCATCCATCCTTACAGCTGTTAAGGCAATATCCATCTATACCGTCACAAATTATCTCCCCAGAAGGAGACAGTCCACAGTTTGCATTACAGTTGTTTTGGCAGTTCAGTCCATACTTACCAGGAGCACAGCCTTCACAAGTTCCCGTTGTTTGATTACACAAGGCACAATCAGAACAGGAATTATCACAAAGCTGTCCAAACTTTCCAGGTGCACACCCTACAGAGCACAATCCCGTTGTCTGATTGCACCGAGAAAACTTGCAGTTTTTACTGCAAGTGTTTGCACAAGTATCCCCATAATATCCCTCTTTACAAATACTACATTTCCCCGTTTGTTTATCGCAAGAACTACCTAAGCAACCCATGCTACAAGTCTTATTACAATTGATTCCATATAAACCATCAATACACTTACCTATACATACAGCCGTTGTTTGATCACATCCTAAATTATCACATCCGGTACAATTATTCTCACAGGAATCGCCATAGTAACCAGCTATGCATCCTCCCACACATCTACCGGATGATCTATCACATTTTGTGCCTTTACAGTTACTGCTGCACGATAGTTCGCATCTCGTACCGAATTTCATGTTTGGACAATTTCCACTGCACGTTCCGTCATCCTTATTACATTGATTTGTTGAACATGACGACGGACATGCCCTACTGCAATAACTACCATGATATCCGGCAACGCATTCTGTTGTGCATGCCCCGCCGACCTTTAGGCAAGTTCTGGGTGAACAGTTTGCTGAACAATTAAAATCACAGTAATCACCATACTTGCCAGAAAAGCAATTTCCCGAACATGCTCCAGTTGTTGGGTTACAACTATTACCGTTACAATTTGACCCACAAGGAAGTTGACAAAATTCCCCATAGAACCCCGGTTTGCACCCAGAGGAACACTTGCTATCTACTTGACTACATTCATTATTTAAACAATTGGAGTTACAGGACTGTAAACAATCGTTACCATGATATCCGTCTACACAACCGGTGTCACACAAGCCAGTATTACGATTACATGTTGTTAAGCAATTGGGACATTGCATGTCACATTTCTGACCGTAACGTTTAAAATTACAGCTTACAGTACATATCCCACTTGCATCACACTTACCTTGGAAACAGTCTGTGGTGCAATTATCTTTACATGTGTTACCATACCAACCCGTTTTGCATCCACCCGTGCATGTTCCTGATGTTTCATCGCTAGAATTTAAAGTCGCACAATTATCGCTACATCTAATGCACTGACCGGAGTCTAGATACCAACCAATTTGACAGCGCTCACAAACGGTAGGTTGATTTGAAGCACACGATTCGCAATTTGACAATGAACAGGTAAACGTATCGCAGCGCAGTCCATTCCATCCAGCAGTACAGCCAAATTTACAGTTTCCAGTGTTAGGAAAGCACTTAGCTATATTGGTGTTATTTGTTTTACATCCTGTACTACAAGTTTTGCAGTTACCAATTACTCCATCATAATAATATTCCGGTTGACATTCGGTACAGACTGTTAAACCAACAGATATCAATGCTTGACATTTCGTACATAATGTATTATTTGTCACTTCCGAACATGATTTGTCACAACTGGGACCATAAAATCCATCTATACACCCATTTAAACATTTCCGATTGCTTTGATAACATTTTGGTAGTCCGCCATTACAGTTTACACAATACGAAGGAAAACATCCAGCTGTTTGCTGATCACATCCATACTGGCAAGAGATTGGACACGTAGAACTACAATCACTTCTGTAATAACCCTTTTTACAACCTGACGTGCATTGACCAGAAGTTCTGTCACATTCCAAGTTAATGCATCTTATCGAACAAGACCTGTCACAATACTGGCCCCATAGTGTTTTAGGACAACTATTACAATAGCCTAGCTGTCTGTCACATCCACATGCTAATCCAGACAGGACACATTGGTCACTGAGTGAACAGTTCTGGTTACATGCCTTGTTACAAACGTCACCGAAATAATTCTTTGCGCAGCCGTAACAGTTTCCATGCAATTGTTCACATCCACATTTGCCGCCATTACCGGAGCATTCAGTTTCATAATAACACGTGGTAGAACAGTTGTACTGACAACTTCCACCCCATACACCAAAATCACAGGTGGCTACAATTATACAGAAATGAGATAAGTGATTAACAAAAAAAAATATGAATTATCTAGGAAACGCTTATTCAAGGTTGGATGACGAATTCAAATGTAGCTTGCTGCTATCTTGTTCGTACTATCTTATTTATTAATTACAAATGGAAAAGCTTATTCATGGATGAAGAATGAGAACAAAGCAATCATTGCAATAACAACACGTAGAAGACACAGAGCATTCATTACCAAAATAACACACAGAAGACACAGATCAATCATTACTATAATAACTCATAGAAGACACAGAGTAAGCAACACCATAACAACAGGTAGAATACACAGATCAATCATTACCATAATAACACGTAGCAGACACAGAGCAATCATTACCATAATAGCATGTAGAAGACACAGCGTAATTATAACCACAATAAGATGTAGATGACACAGAACAATCAATACCAAAATAACATGTAGAAGACACAGAGCAAGCATTACCATTATAACTCGTGGAAGACACAGAGAAATTATAAGGTAAACTATTTAAAGATAGAGAACAATTGGGTTTTAGATTACAAAGAACTCAGAATGATAGGTTGAAAAAGAATAGAGACAAAATGATCGAAATAATATCAAAGGAAAATGAAATAAAGAACACCCCATTCAGATTCTCTTTTATTCATTTATGTACTAATTAAAATAGATACTTCGATATTCAATATAGTAGTTTGTATGAATACGAATGAAAAAATGCTTTCATTTCTAATAAAAAACACGACTGAGTTAAACGAGATTTAACTTCTTTTTTGCAGAATTCTATCATACTCCTTTGGTAGGTGATAAAAGTACCAGGAACATATATGTATACATTGTTTTGGTGTTAGAATTTATTCCAATCTATCATAAACAGGCCATGTTAGCTATTTCTGTTCATCGCTGTCATCCGTTTATTCTCTACGATTAAGAAATTTAGATATATTGATTCAAGAAAATTTTGTGATGGTTATATTCTCACACTGATAGATTGTTGTTGTATCATTTGCATTGGTTGTGCTAAAAATGAGCTAGTACGAATAATTTAATTGCAGAAAAGGGCTGCAAGACTAATTTTAGATGATGATCCACTTTCAGCATCAGCACCACTGTTTAAACAGCTTGGGTGGATGACAGTAGAGAACAGAATCTCATACCATCAATCTGTTCTGGTGTATAAATGCCTTCAAATATGAAGTCCATGCACATGTAACATAAAATGTTAAAGAAATACCAAAAATAGACCAACATAATGATTGTTTGAGGAATACTTCTTACAAAAAATTGCAAGTTCCAAAAGCCAAAGCACAGCGGTATAAATATTTTTAATATATTTAGGATCTGTTTTATAAAATAACTTACCAATATCCCTGTAAAAAATCGACCTTATGCACAAGTTCATTAAAAAAAGATTTAAAATTACCTGTTGGAACATTAAAAAGCTTTGTAATTTTATATGCACAATATTTTTTCGCACACTTACTTAAACTTTAAATGTTGTTGAAGAATTTGAATGATGTCAATACTATATATGAATCATAATGTTTACCTGTTTTAAAAATTATTTAGTTCATAACATCATCTCGTTTGATTTTTCTGATGTGTGAGTTTGTTAGATTATTTTGTAATTCTTTGTTTGTAATATTTCAATGTATTTCAAGTGGGCTTCATGGCTTTGTGCTGTTTTCTGCTCAATGATTGGGTTGTTGTCTCTTTTACACATTTCCATTCTCAACTATTTCTATTTTGTCACATATGTTCAATGATGGAATAAATTATAAACACTGTAAAGAATGTAAGATCGCAAATCAACGGACTAATACTACTGGGTTTAACGAACTTTTTCAATTATATCTTTATCGCTAATTAGAGCCAACAGCCATCTTCGTAGATTGAACGCTTCATTTGACACTCCCATTTCACTTAAACAGGACAGTTTGATCGACTGAGTAGTGTTGTTTAATGGCACTTTGAATACACTTGGCTATATCATGGCAACCAGTTTTTAATGTTTAATGAAGGGGGAGCCAGAGTGCCCGGAGAGAACCTACATTATAATAGGAAAAGTATACTTAGTAACTAATAACATAAGCATACAAATTTTAAAATGTTATATTATATCTAACCTATAACTTATGAAAAAAACATACCATTTGTCCCTATTTCAAACAGTGTAATGTTTAAAACGACGATTAAAATTCTTTTTATCAACGAACCATTCATTGTTTTGAGGAAGTACTATTTAAAGGGACGTAACTTCGTAAATTTAAGTGCAAAAATACATTTCAATGTTTGATGTTGTTATGTATGTGTCATGTAATGTTATGCAATACGTCGTTCCACATTTTGTTAGGTTTAATTAAATTTCTCGTGAAAGCTATACAGAAGGGAATAATTGGTCTGAATCTTGTCACATTTTTCTTGAATTAAATATTGTTTGAATATATATTGTCCATGTCGTCTTTGATTATCTGATTATGGTGTTAGAAAATTGTATAAAACTTTCCTTCTAAAACTGGAAATAAACAAGAATTGTCTCTCTTCTATCAATACATAGGTAATAGGTAGTAACTATCAACCAAATTCCATAATTATGCAAAAATCCAAATAACGTGGATTGCATGGTATGTATGAGGGTCGTAATGGGGCTTACAAAATAGAGCATAATGGGCATAAAATTACAGAATAAAGAGCAAAACCAATTAAGAATAGAGAATAATTGGGTGCAAAAAAAATAAAGAATGGAGATTAAGGGGCAAAATAAGTAAAGAATAGAAAACAATTGCCTAAATATACATAAAAATTAAGGCTCCCCAAAAACCCACCCTCCCCACCACCACCAAATCCAGACCCCATGTTTACAATTCATATTGCTTATTCTGTCATTTTCATCTGCTTATGTTTTGTCGTTTGCTCTCAAATTTTGTCCTAGATTTTCTTTTAAAAAGGTTTAAATAATAAAGTTAACAATTTTTCGAAAGTATTGTCTCGTCATTTCTAATGGTGAAAGAATGAAACGGCACCTGATGTTTTGATCAGTTTGTGTAATTCCGTCTGTGGCCAGGTGAAAATGTTTATTTTGAATAAGTAACCAACCAAAATAACCTTCTTACTTTCCGATTCTGCAGATTTCTCTGTTCTTCCTTTGTGATTGTTCAACTTTGTTTTTGTTCTACTTATTAATATTTTTTTTATCTTTAGTCATAGATATTTTTCTTACAGCGAATGAACTCAGTTGTTTTGACAGAAACTTTAACAACTAATAAACTTCGAGGATAAAATTAACTTTTCGTAAAACAAAGAACACACTGGCAATGAAATGTTAAATGAGTAGTCTTACTTTCAGTCGTCTTAGATATTTGCCACTGGACGTTAGGCAAGCAACAATCAATAAATCAATCATACTTTTAGACAAGCATTAGCTGTTTATATTTTGAAAAACAAATGTGATAATGTCCAAGGTAGAGTGAAATTCACAATCATTTTGCTTTTTGGATAAAAGTGAAACCACGCGAAAACACTTTGACTACTTGCATGGTATTTCGTTCGTTTTGTCGTGTCGAGTATCTTTTCCAAATAAAAGACCTTTCTCATAAGAAATTAAAGTATACATTTTGAACCTGAATTAGAAGTTGTTATAGTTCATTGAGAGATATATCAGTTGGAAATATGGCAACCTGATAAAAACAGTTTAAATAATTTATAGAAATAATCTAAACCAGTTTGGTAATTCACTCTTTACATTGACTTTACCTCAATAAAACTGCATTTAGCCTATATGTGTATTTGTTTTATTACTATACTATAAATAAAAATATTAATTTTCGCGGACCATTTAGGTCACAGAAATTCCAAAATATGGCATCAGTAAGGAGAGTTGTACAATTAATGTGTATACACAGAACCCCGATCCAATTTATGTTTTGCTAAAAGTATTCATCATTTTCTGTTTTGTTTGTACTAACAACATTCCATTT